ATAAAATACTCCTTTATTCCATAAAGCATCTGGGTCAAACTCAGCTGTCAACCCTGTGATCAGTCTTTTTCTTTTAATTTTGGCAGTGGATCAGTGTACCCTATGGTCATATTAGATTTTGGTATGTAATCCTCATTCACACAAACCCCATCCATATCTGTCAACATAACACTTCAATTTTTCTTTTTTTGATTCACACATACAATCCACACCCTGACTGATGCATAAAACATCACTGTAAAAGATAGCAAACATGTTTTGCCTGCATAAGCAGTTTCTTAAAATGAACTGATTTTTATTTTTACAGGGAAAAGTTTTACTTAAATAAAAGAGAGAGAGAGAGAGAGAGAGAGAGCTGGAAACAGATAGCCACAATATTATGGTTTATGCTGAAGTTACTATTTGGCTTTTTTATAATTTCTAACGCTATGTAGCATGCTGATAAGTTACTGGAGAGGAACAAAAACTCCTCCTATAAGCCACACAAGTCTGAATCAGATGGCAATTCAGTGGACACTGAACCTTATGTGATGTTATATAATAGTTCAAGGTTTTGGCATTTATTGCGAGATACAAAGCCAATCAAAGTCAATGCCAGACTCGACATAACATTACTTTAGATCCCAACCTAGAAAAGACCTACATATGGATTTAATTTTAAGCATATATGTTAATCCAGTGTGTACAATAGGATTATACACAAGCTTAATATTAAGCACATGCATAAAGCTTTGCGGGATCAGGGCCTTCACATTCTAATCCATCTTTCATGGTGCATAGACAGTATCCCAAAGCATGGCTGAATCATTTGTAAAAATCTGCAAACAAATTATTTTCCTTTCTTATATATCATTCATGCTTGTTTCTGGATAGGAAATATTGGGAACGCATTCATTACAATGATTTATAGATTGTGCAGATTCCCTCATATTCTTTGTATATTGGGAGATGGGACAGCTAACTTATGGTTCATTCTGTGTATAGATTTAGATGTTGGAGAGAATTTTGGTGATGGAGTCGGAAGGATGAATTTTTGTGGCATGTTTCTAAAATGTGGGTGGACCAATCTGCTGATTTTTCTTGCCTGCTGCACTGATTCATTTCCATTTAGGAATCAGTAAATGCAGAATATTGAATATTCAGCCTGTAACTAACAATTCTGCCTTTGCTGAGTCCTCAGTTAAAAGTATTACACAAGTAAGAAAAATCTATTCCTTTTGGATAAAATCCAATCCATGCATGTAGAATTGGCATTCCTGGGCCTGGAGTGCAAAGAGCTTGGGGAGGTGAAAGCCAGACCCACGCCATGGGGTTCAAGGCTATTGTAACCCCTCTGCACCCATTGTACAAAGCACTGGGGCTACTGGACCTGTGAAAACCCTGAACTATTTCTGGCTTGCTCCCACTGTGGTCTATGTAAGGTCAGGCTAGAGACCTTTAATAAAAGAATACTCCTTTTATTATTTAAAAAAAATAATAAACTTGGGGTTCTTTTTATTTGCAGTAACTTTTTTTTAGCTTTCTGGGTGCCCCTGGGATGCATTTTCAAGCTTTTCTCTGCAGTCATGAGGACTAGAAACTTATTTTATTTTTAAAATGAAAGCTGAGATTCTCCCATATGCACTTGTCTCCAGGAGATGGGGTCTTACAGTAAAGCATTTTATATTGCTGGAATCATATCAAAATCACGGAAATTAGCAACATTGTATAAGCAACTGAAAACAAGGTCTTATAGTGAAAAGTGTCAAGCAACCTTATCTATAGGTGTCACCACATGCACTTTCTAAAATTATTTATCACACAAAACAAACTGAAATTAAGTTAACGGGCCTCCATTCCTTGCATTTCATTGATTTTATGTAGATTTTAAATAGTCAGTGTATCTGAAAATAATTATATGTTTTTCTTTTTCCCTCTCAATCATGTGTCAGTCTGAGTGAGGTGGGTTTTGTAGGAAAGTTGTTTGTTTGTTTTAAGTTATTTGAATGGGAGGTGGTATTTTCATATTTTCTTTTTAAAGATAAATCAAGTATAATTATTTTATTCGAGTTTCTCTGAAAATGTTTCCAAGTCCAAACCAGCATTTGGAATATACAATACTCTCATTTGGTCAAACCCTGGTAGTTCAAGACAGTGTCCAGTGCTGTCCTTATTATTTGTGGGGTCTTTGATACTTACAATTTTACATGAACCCATGACAATTGCCATTTTTTTTAATTGCTTGTGCTTAAAGCCCTGTACTGATTGAGGCCTAGTAACTCTTATGGTGGAATTCAGGCCAAAGTATTCTGGACCCCTGTGATTAGCTTGCGCTCATTTCCATTGGAAAACTAGACTGCTTATGATATGATTTCTGTGATAAAACTTGACAATGGCTAGGCAATTGGCATGCTGACACAACCACTTATTATAGCAAAGAATTTGTTTTCACTGTTTACTTGCCCCTCTCCCTCCCTCCAAGTTTATTTGTTTTCTCAGCCTGCTGTCTCTTGTTATATGCAAAGGTCCAGAAACTACAAGCAATTTTACACAGGCAAACCCCTACAGAATCCTAAAAAAATCAATGGGTGCTGGTCGACCCACAGGGAGCAGCTTGCAGAATGAGGGCCTAGATTGTAAGTCCCTTGGGCTTACCATGATATTAGGCTCTACAAAGTATTTCGTACAAGGAGCTGTCCTCTCTATATATGCCCGTTTTTAACCTTTCCCTACACTCCCTTATCTCCAGAAGCAAAAACAATTAGAGAGGAAACAACCACCCATTTTACTGTTGAACAGCACTTTTCTCCCAGTTAATAGGCTCCAGCTGGCTTCCCTTCCCAGCAGTCTCTTCAATTATCATACAGTCATAGAAACTGGAAGGGACCTCGAGAGGTCATCAAGTCCAGTCTCCTGTGCTGAGGCAGGACCAGGTCAACCTGGACCAGTGTTTCTCAACCTTTTTAATACCAGGGACCAGCTTGTTGCCTTCCTAATTTGTGTCAAGGAGATCTAAGGGACCAGCACCTAGACCATCCTTGACAGGTGTTTATCCAACCAGTTCTTATAAACCTCCAGTGATGGAGAATCCACACCCTCCCTTGGAAGCCTCTTCCAATGCTTAACTACCCTTATACTCAACGTTTTACCTAATATTTAACCTAAAGCTCCCTTGCTGCAAATTAAGCCCATGACTTCTTGTCCTATCTTCAGTGGACATGGAGAATAATTGATCACAGTCCTCTTTATAACAACCCTTAACATATTTGAAGACAGTTACCAGGTTTTTGTGGTTGTGCATGTGATTTTTCCTTCCTACATGAAGTAATTTGCACTTATCTTTATTATTATGTAAGAGAGTCTGAATGAGCTCTCCCCTGACATCTAGTGGTGAGCTGTAGAAAAAGACCTCAGGAGCAGATCTCATTTCCATGGACACACCCACCCTCCCTAGGTGCTCAGCATGATGGGATTGCTTGCCCAAATGATCCCTTGTGGCTGGTTTTGGATTCCCAGGCTCCTGCCAACACTTTCCCCAGAAAGTAATCATATTTTGCATAACACAAGGTGTACCAATATAAAATCAACATATAGGTATTAAAAGAAATAAAGAGAAATAAAAAGACAGTTGTGAAGATATTCATTCCACTGTTCCTCATTCTTAGGAGCTTCCAGCAGTGTTCCTCAATATGGAGATACAGAACCTCAGAGTTATGAACACCAGAGTTACAATCTTATTGGTCAACCACACAGCTCATTTGGAACCAGAAGTACACAATCAGGCAGCAGTAGAGAGTGGGGGGGAGCAAATAGAGTACAATACTGTGTTAAACGTAAACTACTAAAAAAAGAAAGGGAAAGTTTAAAAATACTATATGAGAAGGTAAAGAAACTGGTTCTGTGCTTGTTACATTTAAATTAAGATGGTTACAAGCAGCATTTTACTTCTCCATAGTAAAGTTTCAAAGCTGTATTAAGTCAATGTTCAGTTGTAAACTTTTGAAAGAACAACCATAATGTTTTGTTAAGAGTTACAAACATTTCAGAGTTACGAACAACCTCCAGTCCCAAGGTGTTCGTAACCCTAAGGTTATGTCTATGCTACCATGGGATCGACACTGCGGTGATCATGTACCAGGGGTTGATTTAGTGGGTCCAGTGAAGACCTGCTAAATCAATGGCAGTTGACTCCAGTACTCCGCCCGGAACTAGAGGAATAAGGTAAGTTGACGGGAGACTGTCTCCCGTCGACCCAGTGTGATGAAGACACCACAATAAGTTGACTTAAGCTACATCAACTCCAGCTACATTATTCATGTAGCTGGAGTTGCGTAACTTAGGTCAACTTACTGCAGTAGTGTAGACATAGCCTAAGGTTCTACTGTAATTCCTTTTTACGTCATCCTTCAAAAGCCACCTCAGGACTGGCAAGTAAATACCAGCAATGCTTCTCCCACAACCCTAAACTTCCTGGGGCATATGTTGAATGGATTTGATATAACTGAAATCAGGATATGGATCAATTACTTCATTAGTAAATATTAAATGATAAAGGCAAGTATGTGGACACGATAGAAAGAGAGATACAAAGAGGGAAAGAGCAAGAACTTAAAATCTTTTTCCCCCAAAGGGGATGTTTGCAAAGCAAATATAAAATACCTGTTGTTACACACTAAATGGGAAATCCTCTCACTGCATCCACAGGGCAGGTCTGCGATAAGCAGCTGGAATGATAACCTCTCTCTGTTGTGATGGAGGAAATATAGATTCTTCAGATGCTAACGTTGTGTCATCAGGGAAACAGACACACAGCAACTTTAACTACAGCTAGCACACTGCTAAAGATTTCCACTGTCTGGACATGCATACAACTTCTGCCTTAACCCCAACAGAGCTCCAAGGCTGGTGCAGTCTCGCAGTGTTGCCAACCCAAACATTGGAATCTTATGAGTCAGGCTTCAAAAAGTCATGAGCTTGGCTGAAAATTCATCAGTTTTGAAATAATAATAAATGTGTGGCTTGTTTTATTTGTTTCCCAGTTTCTGTGCCTTTTGGGTGTATCCGGGGCATGTTTTCAAGCTTTTCTATGGAACCACAAAGGCTAGAAATTACTTTTTTAAACAAATGAAAACTGAGATTCTTACCTAATCACATGCATCCAGGCCCTGGGTCTATAAGAATCACATCAAATATCTCAAGTCCTGTGATATAATCATGAGAATTGGCAACAGTGAGTCTGGCTGCAAAGGGGCATTTTTATCAAGGGCACCATAGACATGGATCCCCCTGTCCCAAAATGTATTAAAATGACAGCAATGTCAGGCAGAAAAGACATTCCATCCCTTTAGCCATGTAACTAATACAGAAAAGATGGGTGTGGAAAAACTAGGTGGATGGACTGACATGTTATATATATTCCCACATATATATCTGGTTATGTAAAGAGTACCAGGGCCACATTAACAACCAGATCAGATTGCATGTGGACATTGCCTTACAGTGCAACTTTTACAAGATCCCATAAAAATGGGTTGTCAACAATGAAGATAGTGATAATGTTCCCACATGCCTGACAAAAGATAAATCCAAGGAAAACTGCAACCTTGTTCCTAATGCTTTTACTCAAAAAATAACCAAAGACTCATCTTTCAGTTTGAAGAAATTAAAAAGAACAGAACATGATGACTTACCGATATCCCTTATAAATGTAGGAACTCCGTGAAGAGACAAGTGGGATCTATGGTCTGCTAACTGCTATAAAAAAACACAAGTGAGGGGAAAAAACACATCATTCCAAAATTCTAGACATGTAACACAATTCTTGTACCACTTCTGGTAAATCTGGAAGAGGACTATGATACACCTGACTTGTGGCTGCTCAATGCAACCTACCTGTTATCTTTACCACATCACAGATCACTTGTTGCAGACAACAACCTGGTTGATATATCACTGTGATATATAAAGGAGATAAACATTAGGTGTGCCACATGCTTTTTACTTCAGTGACATAGTGGCAAGAAACAGTACAGTCTCTACTCTTCTTTTTTAGAAGGTAACCTCTGGATGGCAATAAATATGACCTAAGTCCAGCGACAAAGTTATAACATTTTTAGAAAACATCTGGAACCATGGAGCAATATTCCATAGTAATTGTTGTGACACTGAACTTCCATCATTAACCTAAATGATCTTCAGATAATACCCAGTCCCACTTGGGATACATTACACAAAACAACACAGTAAAAGAACATAATTAAAATTGAAAAGTCAAGCACTCAAAACTTAGAAAATGCTGGAATTAAAGTTGCCTGTGCACCCCAGCTCCTCATCAGAGCTGTTCATTTCCCTCCACTTCCCCCGATTGGTTCCCAGTACCAGCCTCCTAGTCCAGCCAGTACTCGTCACCCCTCCTCCCCCCACCCCACCCCCACCACACACACCTCTGAGCTACTCATAAGAATGGCCATATTGGGTCAGACCAATGGTCCATCTAGCTCAGTATCCTGACTTATGACTGTAGCCAATACCAGATGCTTCAGAAGGAATTAACAGAATAGGGCAATTTATCAAGTGATCCATCCCCTGTTGTCGACTCCCAGCTTCTGGCAGTCAGAGACTAGGGACACCCAGAGCATGGGATTGCATCCCTGACCATCTTGGCTAATAGCCATTGATGGACCTATCCTAAAGAAACTTATATAATTCTTTTTTTGACCCAGTTATAGTTTTGGCCTTCATCACATCCCCTGGCAACAAGTTCACAGGTTGACTGTACATTGTGTGAAGAAATACTTCCTTTTGTTTTAAACTTGCTGCTTATTAATTTCATTGGGTGACCCTAGTTCTTGTGTTATATGAAACAGTAAATAACACTTTCTTATTTACTTTCTCCACACCTTTATCATATCCCCCCCTTTGCCATCTCTTTTCCTAGCTGAAAAGACCCAGTCTTTTTAATCTCTCTTCATATGTAAGCTGTTCCAGACCCTTCATCATTTTTGCTGCTCTTCTCTGTACCTTTTCTAATTCTAATACCTCTTTTTTGAGATGGGGTAATCAGAACTGCATGCAGTATTCAAGATGTGGGCGTATCATGAATTTATAACGTGGCATATTTACTGTCTTATTATCTATTCCTTTCCTAATGGTTCCTAACTTTTTGTTAGCTTTTTTGATTGCTGCTGCACACTGAATGGATTTTTTCAGAGAACTATCTTAAATGACTCCAAGAGCTCTTTCTTGAATGTTAACAGATAATTTAGATCCCATCATTTTGTATATATAGTTGGGATTATGTTTTGCAGGGTGCATTACTTTACACCTGATCTCACTGTGTTCCCCTCCCACACTGTCTACTAGTCTCTCTCGCCACCACTTGTTTCCCTCAACAGCTCCCAGTCCCAGTATCCTCCCTCTGAAACCCAGTCCTAGCCTCTTTACCCAACCAGTCCCAGACTCCTACCACCACCACTCTTCTGCATCTCCCAGTCCCCATCTTCTTGCATTACCCGTGCCTGTGCCCCCACTCAAAGTACAAATTACTGTTTCTCTCTCCTCCTACTCCAGTCCCAGTCTCAAGAGGCTCCCTGTCCCAGTTTACTCTTTTCCCTCCCCCTGGACTGGCTTTTGTCCTATCTGGATTCAAATCACTTGATGATTACCTGTTCTGTTCATTCCCTCTGGGGCACCTGGTATTGGCCACTGTTGGAAGATAGGATACTGGGCTAGATGGACCTTTGGGCTGACCCAGAGGTGTGCACATGGGAGGACAAGCAGGGGCATGAGCCCCACAATAATTGTTGGGGGGCATAGAACTTCTCTGGCCCCAGGGCCGTGGCTGTAGGGAAAAGTGAGCTCCTGCCAGGGCAGGTGCATAGGCGTGGGAAGTAGGAGTGCGGCACCTATGCCCTGCTCCCCGCCCTCTGCCCCCCAACCCTTCACCTCACCTGAGGCTCGGGTCCCGGCTGCTGGCCCCATGCCTGGGGCCCCACGCCAGCCCCACCTCCACTCCGAGGCCTCACTCCTGGGGCCTGGCTCTGCTCCTAGGGCCCAGGCTGCTTGCCCTGTGCCTGGGGCCCCACGCCCACCCCCAGCTGTGACCTCTGTCTGAGTCCCCCCCCTCCTGGAGACACAGCCCTGCTCCCAGCCTCGGGAGGGGACGGGGTAAGGGGGCTGGGTTTCAGCACCCCATTACTAAAAATGTTCCAGAGCCATTGGGCAGGGATGGGTGGCGGGAGGAAGAGCGAGCTCCTGCCAGGGCTGGGGAAAGACCGAGGTCCTTCTGGGCCCAAGGCGGTGGGGCCAGCTGGGGAAGGAGGAGAGCAAGCTCAGGGGGTCAAATTTAAAATCCTGCACACGCCCCTGGTCTGACCCAGTATGGCAGTTCTTAAATCAAACGGTTCCCTTCTCCAAGCTGCCTGGGCACCAGCAGGGGGTCACTGAGAGCACATGAGACATAGGATCCCTGCTCGGTTACAGTGCCCAGCCCCACCCTCATCAGAGCAGCCGTTACAGAGAAAGTCCAGCTTCACCCCATAGCTTTGGCCTGAATGGAGCACACTCAGTTGCTCAGATGGCCCATGTGCAGTCTGATCAGCACTCGGAGCTGTGAGAGGATGGAGCATGCTCAGTGTACATGGACTCTGGAGATTTGAGCTGCTAAAATGTAAGAAGTCTCTACTGAGCATGTGCAAACTGTGATTTTGTCAAAGGCTCATAACTTTGGGCAAATTTTCATCATCATGGCAAAAGGCACATTTCTGACACAACAGCCACCTTCCTGCCAAATTTAAATTCCCTGCGCCAAAGCATGAAGGAGCTATAACCTTTCAAATAAAAGGTCTCCAGGATATTACTAAATTGCAAAATGATGTATTTTTTTTCCCTCTCATCATTCTCACAAATGGTTGAGCTGTTTTGGCTGACACCATCCAAAAACCCATTCAGCCTGAACCAGACACCTGGCATGGAAAATTGCAGCCCAAACAGTTAAAGTTTGGCAAAGTTATAAGCAATGGAAAATAGGGTCTTATAATGGGACCAGTCTGGGACCTTTAATAATAGATAGCACTACCAGTCTGCCTATGGTAATCTGGCTGTATTCAGGTCAGAGATGAATGAAGGGGGGAAGTCTTTGCCTGCCAGTGGAAGTAAGGCACCCAAAACCAAGAATGTACATTTAAATATAAAGCTGTCATGCTTCAGGGCATAAACTAACCATGATGCCCCGGGACCCGCTGCCGAAGTGCCCCGAAGACCTGCGTCAGGGGGTCCTTCTGCCCCAGGACCCGCTGCCGAAGTGCCGGGTCTTTGGTGGCAATTCGGCGGCAGGGGCCCCCCTGCCGCCGAAGACCCCAGGTCCCCTGAATCCTCTGGGCGGCCCTGTGCCACCCCACTGTAAACACTTGAGAGTTGTTACAATACAATGGCAAACTGGATCTGAGAAGTCTGGGGCTCCTGCAGAGCTGACTGAACTAGTCTGGACAAGCAGGGCCAAAGCCTAGGAACTGACCAAAACAACTCTGGCTGAATAAAAAGAGATTCTCATTTTCCAGAGGGGCAACAGCTGTTGTGGAAAGCAGAGAAACACAAGCTGAGGTGTCATAACCAAATATAAAAAGTTACTGTGAGCCAAGCTACAGCTTAAGAGACATGCTGGGGAAAAAAACAGACGTTTTGCATGTTTTCCACTTCACATGCATGCCGTATAGCACCAAATGTGCCACGTGGCACAAAATATTGCTGCTGCTCTTGCCATTCTTTGGGATCTAATATAAATTGACAAAGAGTCTAGCACAACAATTACATGATCTTTGACCTTTTTGTGATATATGACATTGGAAAGCATTGTCTGGGACAGTCCATCATGGACTAGTCCGTTGACATTATGGAATATGTGTTATGACCTTGTCCTTCCAGCACAGGCATAAATGTGTTTATGATAATGTTATTCCCAGTTAGGAAGCTATTTTGTATACCTTCAGGTTACAGAATAACTAAGGAGCCAATTCTCTATGTCTGGCATTTGGAACAAGACACCTTGAACCAATTTATGCTGAAGTGCAGTCTCGGTTGTGAGGCTGGCTATTGATTAGACACTGACGCGTGTATGAGCAGTGGAGAACTGGAAATTCTCCCACAGTCAGATTCACGCAATGTGATGGGCATTGCAGGCAGAAAAGGGATTCAAATTGATTTCTGCTGCCCAACTCAGGTATAGAGATCCATATGCTTTCAGCCAGGCAGTCTAGATACTGTTGTCTCCAACAATAGAGTTTACTCCTAAATGCATGTCATTTTATTATACATTTTTTTGTTTATCTTAATGTTTTTAGTATATGTTTTATTTGTGATGTGCAATTATTATACTTGAAGAATTGACTATTCTGTGTCACTTCAATGGGACTATACAATTATTATGGTGCATGAATTATTTGAGCTGTTTCACTTGAAGACCGATTGCCTTTCAAGGTCTCTATGGGGGAGAGGTGAAGGTACCCTGACTGTTATAGCCCAAATCAGGCCCCCTGGCAGGCCATTTGCAGTGACTCTAGAGCCAGGGTTTTTAGTGTCAACCTTACTTTCCCACAAAAGAGCTCCATAAAGATCAAGGGGGATTAGGGTCATGGTGGAGTTCAGTGACTGTGCCGTGCTGGATTAATTTAAAATGGTAACAGCCTAAAAACTCTATCCACCTCTCACAACCAACCATATAAAACATGGCTCATCACCATATTCAAAAGAAAAGAAACCAGCATACTCAGGGCATCCGCAAGGAGGAATAATCTCAGCAGGACTGCAATTCTCTCCCACTCCTGAACTAGATTAGATTAGATTGATTTTTGTTTATATCTAACTTTTTGTACTGCTTGCCACGTTCGTGTTTGAGGGGCAAATTCCTGCTCCTTAAACAAGGAATGTTGTTTGTTAACTATTGCTGGGGAGAGGCTAGGGGGACTGGCTGTTATTGGAGAGAGGGGTTGGATGGATGGATGCACTAGTGAATTTTATAAATCTCTTGAATTTAATATTCTGTCTACTAGTGCATGTCTCTCTTTCTCTCTCTCTCTCTTCCCCTGGTTCACTAACTAAATTTTATTCATATTTGTTATACACTTTAAAAGACAAAGCATCTGTCCTTTGCCTGAGAGGGGGTGACTGGCTCTTGAGAGATTGTCTTGTGTATTAGCCATCAACTTT